CGGCGGTGGCGCGAGCGGTCAGTGGTGGAGGTGGCGGCGGCTGCAGTAGTGGAGACTGGACTACTGGAGGCGGTGAAATCATAGACCTATTAACTAACTTAATAGGTCTATGGGTGAAATTGTACACGATACGTATTTAATACCAAGCCCACCCACCGCCGCCGATAACAGTGCATCTGACACAAAATAACTAATAAGTAATAACGCGGGGGTAAATTGTTGCTGCATGACCGATTTCACCGGCGCTGCACGGCAGTCGTACAATATAATTTAAAAGATATAAGAGGAAGGCGAGAGGGCCATTGGGCCCGTGCCCCGTGCGCTCGGATTTCGATTGACCTTGACGTGGCCCGGGGAGAGAGTAATAATAATTGTGTATTATTTTGACTTCAATTTACCTAGATGTAACATGGGTATTATATAAGTACGACGTTATCGAAATTAGTAGAAGTGCCGGCCGTAATATGATATCATAGGCATAAATTAAAATTAATTAAAAATTTAATAAATGAATATTAGAATCGGAGCTATTCTCTGAATTACAAGTTTAGTTTAATACACGCGTCATACCATTGACTCCAGACTAAGCAATTTCTGGAAAATGAAAACACTACTGCGAAATGAAATAGTTAATTTAATCTAAGTGTTTATTATTATTATTATTATTATTACCTTATATTTAATATTTATACATTATTCTATTAGTAGTATTTTCACGTTCTGAGAAATTGAAGTAATATATCTGAGTCTCTAAACATGTTTAATAATTTAATATTTCTTTTCATTCCGATTAATGCACATAAATGTGTAGGTACAATAAAAATTGTGTTTTTAAATAATGCAATGCAGATCTTATAAATTGAAATCTGCTATTTTGTCTTTCTTTCCCTTTTTTAAATTAAATTTAAAACATGATTATTTACATAATTATTATGATGTGGTAAGGTTTCGCTGATTAATTTGTACAAACGTCAAAATGTATTATTATTCCCCCAATGGTCTATAAGGTCTATGGATATGTAAATGGATATGTTAAAATTAGGACTTTTAATCAGTCAACCAGGAGGAACATTATTTGATTTTTTTTTTTGTTATTATTATTAGATTCTTTGTTGTCATTGCCAAGTGAGTAGTGGTTTAATAATTTTTTTATATACATACAGTAATAATTGGTGTTATTTTAGTTTTTTTCCAGGGTTAGAAAAATATGTTAGTTGTCACATCCTAAATTATCATTTTTGTTCATTTTAAGGGCATAAATAAAAAAACATTTTTTTTCACATTGCTACAAAACAAAGTAGTCAATGTATTACTTTTCACTTAAAGTTAACATTACTTAATTAGAGTGAATATTTTAATGAATGGAATTTACTAAAACAATAAGGTTGAAAATCGAACAACAAAAAATATACAGTACCTACCTAACTACTGTCTTTAGTCTTTTTCCCCTTTATTATCCAACACAATAGCAATTTAAATACAAATTCAAGGTTATAGTTATTCATATATGGTGATACCTACCTTTGATTTTTTGGTTGATACACGACATAAGTATACAACACACTATACCTATGTCTATATATCATAATTGTATAACATAAAACCTTTTATTTTAGGCCAGTACTATGAAAGAGTTTACCAAAGATCCCAAAAACTTCAACCTAGTAAAGTTTGAAGTAAAACATGCATTTGATGGAATGGAGTATTATAATAGATGAAGTAATATTTTTGTAACATTACTGTTTTACTTGTTGGACTTATTTTTAAAATAAGTTTGTAACTGTAAACAGATTTCAAAATTCCATTTACTTACTTGCTCTAATATGATACATGATTTGTTTTTTGTAATCACTTTATAGCCCCTACATACAACAAAAGTAAATAGGATTGACAGTAAATTCCTTAGATGTTGATGCAATCTTAATGAATCAATACAAACAAATCCCAATGCTAGTATTCATTTTGACAAAATAAAGTTTATTCATATTAAAACCTCTACAGCAGATATTGGTTGGACTAATAAGTATTATATGAAAAATATATATATTATATTAGTTTTAAATTATAATCAATGGTCTTAGGTATATTATACATTTAATATTTATACAAAAATTATACAACTATAAAAATAATAATTTAACAAGTCAATACAACACAGGTGGTAGAGCCTATAATATTATAATAGTTTGATGCTCAAGTTTAATACAAGGGAAATAAATACACACCAACATACCTATTTTTTTTAAATTTTTTTTTTGATTTTAGTAATATCGGTTACTACTGTAGTTTCTAGGCCAAACGTGGTTAATTATTATTATTATTTGTAATTTCTATTAAGTATTATTATAGTATTATGATTTTTTCGAATATTGTAATTAAATTATTTTAAAAACATAAAATATTATAGTAAATTGTGTGGATTTTTTTTCTACCAACCACAAAATAAAGGTGGGTACTGGATAGCATACCACACGAACCTTCTATTTTCAGATCCAACTTTCCAAGCCGCCCTAGCTATAAATTGGAAATATTAAGCATTTTTTACCACTAAATTATTAGCGAATTTTGTCAAAATATAACGAATTCATCTTAGTTCGCGGCAAAATCTCATGGTACATACTAACAACTATTCCTATAATATTATATTACACATTCGTCGAACCATAATAATACAAAATCAGCAAAATATGGGAATACTAAACCATCAAACCATCAAACCTACTTATTATAGGATAATCGAATTGGATCGCTATTCTGAAGCAGGTATTCGTTTATCAGTTATCACAGTCTGCAGAAAAGTAGATAACACAGATATATACAATATTGTATATATCTATTCTATGGTACATAACACGATTTAAGATACTATCTTAAATCGTGGTACATAATCACATAGATGATAACCAATAACAATAATATGGTTATGGTAACAATAAATTATAGACGCTAACCTGTAACCATGGAAAACAAAAAGCCGGCGGGCAGCAGCTCATCAGGTTCGGTCGCCAGTGTTTTATTTACAAACACTATCAGTTGAGAAGTTTGGATATTTAAATTTTAAATCAAACATTAATACATTACCGAAGTTGTCGTAGTTATAGCCGGCGGGTTCTAAGTGGTAACTTTAGGCCACGAATCGAGATTATTGTTGATCGTAGACTAGACTCAATTCTTGAATTTCTAGGTTATTGGGTTTTGGATTTTTAAAATAAATTAACTCCGGAACTGGCGGAACTTCAACAATGGCTGGTAAAGTTCTTGTCGATGCTCTTTCGTACATTGATGAGGGGTACGACGAGCCAGGCATCCGTGAAGCTGTAAGTAGTTTTGTTTTATCGATATGGTTTTTGTGACAACCACTGATATTATGTCGTTCAATTTATTTGCAGGTGATCAGTATGATAGAAGACGAAAAACGTCGTTTCAGGCCGTCAAATAACTATCTAGAACGTTTTCCATCACTCAATACATCGCGGTTTGAAGTACGTAAATATTTTTTATTTTAAGATCAAATATTCTTTGCTTTTATCACAGTCCGATAAGCATGGTTAAAAAAACTAGTGTCCCCATGCAGAGGATACAATGTTGAGGATTTCTTAATTATGATAAACTTACCTACTAATATAATTACTTAAAACATCATACATTTTTTAAAATAATAAAATGTTCTAATAATGATCAATGTTCAATAGACTGAATTGATGCGAACAGAGTTTGATAGACTTCAGCAGCGTTTATCTATGGAAACAATGAGTATGCAACCCTATGAACTACCTCCACCACCTGCTGTAAAACTCCCGGATATGTCTTCTTGGAATGAATGTTTGGAAAACTCAATGGTTCAACTCGAACATCAAGCTACAAGGTATATTATATATATATATATATTTTACTTTTAAGGTTACAGACAATTTAGGCTCTTAGCAAATAAC